TTTTTTTTTTTTAAATGGAGTTTGGTTTGAATCCTCGGCGTTGGCGTCGCATTACAGCGTGACAGAATGTACGGTAAAAACTCGTTTTTAATTTTGACTTTTATTTATTTTTTTCAATCGATCTGGAAATTCATCTGCTAGAAATTTCGTGCCGCGGTATTTGCAACTTGCAAGACTCTTCCTGCTCGATTCTTCCGAGCAGCGGATTTCCAGAGTAATAGTAACAAAATGGACCCAAACTCAGCCTCCGCGTCCAGCGGTGGCGGCGGCGGCGGCGGAGGTCCGGCGCCTTTTCTCCTGAAGACGTACGAGATGGTGGACAATCCGTCCAACAACGAGATCGTGTCGTGGAGCTCCAACAAGAAAAGCTTCATCGTCTGGAATCCACCGGAATTCGCTCGCCTCCTGCTTCCTACCTATTTCAAGCACAACAATTTCTCCAGCTTCATAAGGCAACTCAACACCTACGTGAGTTTCGTTTTATCCTTTTCCATGCCTTTTTGTTGGCTTAATTTTCTGATATCTTCGATTTCGAATTTCCTCTTTGATTCTTCGACCTTTAAATTGCAGATTTTACTCAAATATTGTAGCTCTCAAAATCTCTCAAATCAACTTTCCCATACTTTTCTTGATCTATAAAATAAGCAATGTTATTGAAGAATCTCAGTCATGGCAGTTACTTTTGAGAATATAATCTCGTAATAATGTATGTATAAAGAAAAATTGAAAATGAAGAATTGTGCCATGGTTTATTGGATATGGTGTTCATGCATCAGGCATTACTGTTTCTTTGGCTTGGCCTGGAACTGCATTATAATGAGGGAATGTGAAAGCTTTAAGGATGCATATTGGAGTAGCAACTTGTTCAAACAATTGAGATTCCTACTTGTGAAACTCAGTTTCTATTTGTAAGAACATTTAATATAAGTTCTTGGATCTCAGCCCAGCTTGCATTTTATTCTTTTCACAAATGAATAAAGGCAGTTTGCCTGCTTGTGCCTGCAGTATTAGCTATAGATATTATGGGTGTGGAAAGGGTTCAGATGCAAGTCATGAAAGTTGTATCATTTAAAACAAAATTTCTAAAGACTTGTGAGTATTGGTTCGATGTATCTTTTTAGTAATTGTTTTGTTTCTAGAAGTTTTGTTTAAAGTTGTGCAAAATTTTCTTAAAAGCAGCCCAGGATTCATCATTCTAATGTGAGATTTCGCTTGTATTTTAATTTGGCATATTCTTAGAAGTTTTGATGTCCAATAAGCTTTGCCATGCTTTTCTTTTCTTATTTCGTGTCTGTAGACTGAGCTAGGTTGGTTAACTTTCAAGATTGCCTCCCTTTTTGTTGGATTGATGGTAGTGAAAAGATTTGAGTTTGCTGTAATTAGTTTAGTATTACATACAATCAGGAATGTATTGTCTAAATACAATTTGACAGAGTATATATAAATGTCATGTGGTGACAGGGGTTTCGGAAAATTGATCCTGAAAAGTGGGAATTTGCCAATGAAGACTTTGTGAAAGATCAAAAGCATCTCCTTAAGAATATCCATAGGAGGAAACCAATTCACAGCCACAGTAACCCACCGGGTTCATTAGTTGATCCAGAAAGAGCAGCTTTTGAAGAAGAAATAGAGAGGCTGTCACGTGAGAAAGCTGCACTTGAGGGTAATGTTTTGAAGTTCAGACAGCAGCGATCTACTGCAAAGCTTCAGTTGGATGACCTCACACGGCGTATTGGTGGTATGGAGCATAGGCAAGATGTTCTGTTGAAATCTGTAGAAAAGGCTGTTCAGAACCCTACTTTTGTTGAGAATCTTGCTCGCAAAATTGAATCCATGGATATCTCGGCATACAATAAGAAGAGGCGACTGCCTCAAATTGATAACTCAAAGCCATCCTCAGAAAATAGTCTTTTAGACAATAATAGCAGTTCTAGACCTGAGTTTGGGAATATATTCCACCAAAATTTCTCAAACAAGCTAAGACTAGAATTGTCACCTGCAGTTTCAGATATCAACTTGGTTTCACACAGTGCACAGAGTTCCAATGTAGATGGAACAAGCCCACGGAGGAAGATATCTGAAGGAGATCCAAAGGATGCCCCAACAAGAACAGAAGGTCTTTTGTTTCCAACTGAGGCAGTAGAGCTCTCAGATACTGGAACTTCGTTTACCTTCAAAATGGATTCATCTTTGCAACAAAAAGTAGCAGCAAATGGAAGCCCAAGAGAACATTCCTTACAACAGATATTGGCTTCCAATGATGAACTTGATGGTCATATTTCATGCCAACTAAATCTAAGTCTGGCATCCTCTTCTTTGCAAGTCAGCAAAAGTCCTTACTCAACTAGGATGTCCCAACTAAGTCCAAATATTGGAAAATCCCCAGAGCCCATGTCTCTTGCTAATACTAGAGAATCTGATGCTCAAGCATCTCAGAATGACAGGAACATGGGGAATGTGGAAAAAACATTGTCTTCCTTGAAAGAAGCCCCAAATAAGAATCAAGAGCCTGCAGCTCCTCTAGTTAGAGTGAATGATATATTTTGGGAACAGTTCCTCACAGAAAGACCTGGTTCTTCTGACAATGAGGAAGCAAGCTCTATTTATAGGGCAAACCTGTTTGAAGAGCAAGAAGATAGGCGGCCCAGCCATGGGTTACCTAAAAAAGCTAAGAATATGGAGCAGCTCAGCCTTTGAGCATTTGAAGTTTCAGTTGGTCAAGTTACAGGTTTGTACTTAAGTCTGTAAAATTCACATTGGATAAGATATATAGCATTATTTGAAACATAAACATCTATGATTTGTTTGCGTCAAATAATAGTGAATTTTTTACTAGCTTAAATTGCAAGGGCTGGTTGTTTCATGTTGGCCAATGGTGCAAAATCACCCCTAAAATAGTTAGGTTGGAGTTATTTCATGTTTGTATGAGTTGCATTGCGGAATAGACTGTCTACTCCACTGGTATTAGTATTTTGAGGCGAACCACTAAGGATCATGGTGACTGTAGATTGGCATCATTATTCAAGTGGTTATAATTTAGGCCAAACCGGGTAGCGACAGATTCATCCTCAAACTAAATGCAGGAACAAATTGACCCCACCAACTAATTAGGTTGGACAAATGATCTCAAATTTAATTGTTAACATCATATGATATCAGCTTTTCATTTCTTTTTTACTTATGTGGCATTTTTATATGTGCTAGCAGTAACAGAAAGCAGATGTTATTTGATGTTATTAGTTAAATTTGGAGTAATTTGTCCAACTTAATTAGTTAAAGTGGTGATTTGTCCTGTATTTAGATTGAGGGTAGATCTGTCCTTGCACCCATACTTGGACGATAGATTTGGGGTTTAGGCCTATAATTTAAGGCATAAAGTTTTCCCTGTGTGGACTGGCCGGACTGGATTTCCTCGTCCCTATAATTTAAACCTAACGTAAACAAGGTTTAAAAATGTTGGGTGTTTTCTTAACTTCTCTTGCAGTTTACTCATATATTCTGTAAAGGCAGAAGCGAAGTCTGCAATGAAGTTTGAATAATGGGGTTAGGTGCCCGCCATTGAGCCATAAATTCCAAAGTTTAGTGAGTAGGTGAGATGGTGACTCGACTCCTGAAATTTCTTCTAGAACTCACTTATTTGGAAAAACTTGTGTACAATTATTATTTTGTTTTTTTGTTTTTTTTTTTAACACATAAAATGATTAAGTGTTAGTATTAGTATTTGTTCTGGTGTATATTGAATAAGTTGAATGGGTGATCTTCACTTTACTTCTTTTTTAAGGAGTGCAGCCCAACTAGTGGGTCGCGTAGTGGAGTTCCAAATATTATTTTGTTGATACAACTTTCTTTGATAAAGAAAAGAAAAAAGAGAATAGTTATTCTTACAAATAAAATTATAGGGGTAAAAATAGAAACATAGTAAACTAAAGGGAAAAGGCTACAAAATTAGGTAAAAAACCATGGAAATTTGAAATGAAACGCAATTGATGATGAATTTTTCGTGCCAAGTATGGTATCCTCAGGTTTGGCACTAAGTCTACTTCTCTTCCGTCAAAGTCAATTTTTAATTTTTGACCAGAAACCGGAACAGTCAAAGGCAATTATGATTTTTGAAAATTGTGGAGAAAAATATGACTGCAATGCCGGCCTGCCTAATGACTGTATATTACTTTTTTTATTTTAAAATAATATAATCATGGTTGAGAAGTCCTTCTAGTCACTACTCCATTGTAAGCGAAAAGGGTATTTTAATTTATGTATTTTTTTATTTTCTTGAAATTAACCTCACAACTTTTTTTTGTAATATTTGAACCTTGTCACTTATATATTGAAATAAATTGACACATATATTTTTCGGTTAAAATAAATTAATCAAAATCTAACGTATGACGTCATGAAACGTCAGTTTACTGTGAAACTCATTTTTTGCCGTTAATACATGGCTGATTTGGCGCATATGGGACCCGACTTTGTGACATGGGTTGATGTGGATTACTTTTTTTATGACATGGCCCCTGATTTGCTGACATGACCCCTTTTATTTCCCCAAAATCTCACTCGCTTCAAAGCTTAAAATTGGGAATCTAGGTTTTTGTCCCTTGTGAAATCGATTTTGACCTTCAAAATGTTCGTATCTTCTTCGCATTCACGATTTGTTTCTGTAAGATCGAAGGTGTTCTTGGATTGTGGGAATGCTGAGTATGTGTATGAGGGTCATCAACGACACTGCAAATGTGGATTGAAATCCCTGAGATACACTTCATGGACAGAGACTAACCCCGAAAGAAGGTTTTATGGGTGCCCCAACTTCGGCAAGAAGGTGAGGGTAGATTTTCTTCTTTTATTTTCTATTTTTTTTTATTGTTTCTGTTCGATTGAAGGTTGGTTATGTGAACTATTATGGTTTGGAATAGGATTCCAATGGTGATTTGTTGAAAACCTACAATTTTATAGAGTGGCACGATGAACCCATGTCCAGTAGAGCCATTGACGTCATCTTGGAGTTGAAAGGCGAAAGAGAAGCCTTGAAGACTGAGTTGGAACAAAGGAAAGAGCCAAGAGGACGAGATAAATTGACAGTGGATAGTAGTGAAGCTTCTACAAGGGAAAATGAAGAATTAATGATTCTGAAGGAAGATTATGGAATGAGGTGTTCAAGGGATAAGGAAAATGCTGAATCGAGATATGTGAGGGATGAAGTGCAGGAATTGAAGGAATTAAAGGAAGGTATGAGAGAATGGGAAAAGAAATTGGATGACTTTGTTAAGTTGGCTGCTAAAAAAGAGCATGGCTTTCAAATGTTTTTTCTTTTTTATGTTGTTGTATGTCCACTATGTGTGTGTCTTTGGGTTGTATACTTTTAGGTTTCTATCAATAATATAATATAATCCTATCTTTATCTTATCTGATAATTCAAACAAGGATCCAAAAAAGTTGCTGTTGCCAAAATAGTGCTGGTTCCACAAACTGTCCAAGCTGTACACATAACCAATTTCACATGCTTGCACATGACTACTAATAAGTTTACTTTATATTGAACATCAGAGTCAAAGTACACAAATAATACGAATCATTACATAACCTGCAATAGTTAACTTAAAAGTTTATGGTTGATTCAACAACCACCAAAAGCATAAATACAGCTTCCATACACAACAGAATAGGAAAGAAAAAATAGCAGATTCATTCTTCATCCTTCATTTCTTATCATGCCTTTTGCTTCCCTTTATCTAATGACTGGCCAAGGGCAACATATTTACTTCTTTTGGTTTGCCTTTTGCTTTGATTGCTTGGATTGTTCTTCCTCTTCCTTCCAGTAGCAGCAACCTAGAATAAAAAAGGCATAAGATGAAGTACATGGATTAGCTATTGTTTTAATATTACTGAAATTATTTATTCATATAAAAAATCACTCAAATTACTTATTCATATAAAAAAATCACTGAAATTACTTACAGAAGCTGGATTTGGTGAAGGTGCAACAGAGGCCTGAGTAACAACAGGGACTTGACTAGCAACAAAGGCTTGACTACCAACAATGGCTTGACTGCTACCATCAACAACCTCTCTATCCTTAAAAGGGCATCCCCTTTTGTTATGTCCTTCATTACCACATAACTTGCAATGCATTTTTCTCCCATGTCTTGATAAAACAATAAGCTTACCTTTCTTAAATTTCTGTGGTTCACCACATTTTGGCTTCCTTCTTTTGTTCCTAGGCCTGCTCGGCCTTCTTTTCATCATAGGTGGCTGCAAATTTTTCCCATCATAGTTATTCCACATTTCAGCACCTCGACAACATTCAAAAGATATACCATATGCAGCTAACTATTTTTCTCTCTTATAAAACTCATTAACAAAATCTTCTAAATCCAAACCCTTATAATCCACACAACAAATAACATGCTGACAAGGAATTCCATTTATCTGCCAGTACCTACATCAACACTACATGAGGTAGAAATCAACATGTGTGTATTGAAATTTCAAGTCACGCACCTGGAAAGCATGTTCAGCATCCCACTGCACATGGCATTCAAAAGCATTCTGCCTTATTTCTTCAATTCTTTGCAAAATTCTAGGAGCAATGTTACTATTCCAATTGCTCATGCTCAACTTCTTATCTTTAAGCTTGTCCATGACCATATTCTGCATTTGTTTTGACGTATTAATAATTGCCTTGCACCTTGTAGATAGAATCCAAGAATTAGATGTCTCGAACCTGTTGTTGTGTGGGATATCACACAGAGGAAATTCTTTGAAGAAAGCCTTACACCAACATTGTGGATTCATGTTCATCAATTGCTAGTAGCCTTGCTCAGTTTTTGCCCTCAACTTATTCATTTGAGATTCCCATTCCCTATTAAATGTGGCTTTAACACAATTCCAAAATACTATCTTCTTGTCATCACCTTTATTTTCTTCTCTTTTAGCCCAATTACAATAAATATATCTTACACAATATCTATGAGATGCAAATGGGAAAACCTCTTGTCTTGCACTAAGAAGGCCCTATGATAATACACACAAAAAATATAGTTATAATCATAAAATTTTATCATATGGAAAAAAAAATTTAATACATAATCAAACTCTCACCATGCCCTGGTCTAAAACAATGCAGAGATTGTGTCCTTCACCTAAGTCCAAATTCACCCTTAGATTCTCAAAGAACCATTTCCAAGAGTTGCCACTCTTTGACTCAACCACAGCCCAGGCAATGGAATGCATCTGCTCATTTCCATTTCTTCCAACAGTTGATAACAATACCCTTTCACAAACACCCTTCAAAAAGCACCCATCAACCCCAATTAATGGTCTACAACCATTCTTCCACCCATCTCTCAACACTTTCAGGCAAACATACATACCTTGAAACATCAAAGGTCCACCAATTCTAGGCCTGTCAGCAATCACTCTAACTTTATTTCTTGGATTAACAGATTCCAAATACCTTGCATACCCCACAACATTACCATACTCCTCAATGAAATTGCCCTCTAGTTCCTTGATCACAATTTGCTTTGCCCTCACACATTTATCAAACTTAACATTGAGCTTTCATTCATTGTAGGTATCCTCCATCATGGTCTTGCATATATAAAAAGGGGTCTCATGGATACGTTTCTTGAAATAATTTGTAAGGTATAATGTTATACACATCATATTTACACGTGTCTTGTAACACGTGCTCCCGATAGTAACTTTTCACTAAGAAGCTTTTGTCCCTATTGTCTGAGGAGGCCAAAATCTCCCACTTACAACCTATTGCCTTACAGTGATATTTTTGCTTATTGGATTTATTCTTCAATGCTTTCAAATCACATCTCCTGATAATTGAGTATTTTCTAATGGCCTCCTTGAACTCAACATTGTCCTTAAACCTCATTTCAACCTGAAAGTGTGGTATTTACCATGATGGGTTGTAGTATACATCTGTACGTTCATCCCCTTTTGAATCAATGCAGACATGATATTCATCTTCATCAACATCACTTGAATTTGTCCACAAGTTGCCAGGATCATTACTGTCTTCATAATGGCTAACTCTCTCATCACTTTCATCATCAGAAGATTCTTCATTATTAACAGGTAATTGTTGAGAAGAAGTGATTGGATCTCCGGAGATTGACCTTCCTGGCAAGTCTGCATCACTTTGCTCAATGTTTAGTGTCTTATATCTTCTAATAACAACAACTTTTTTCTCATACTCTGCTCTCTCCTTGGCAGATAGTTGCTCTAATGGAATTTTCCTTGGCCTGCCCCGGGCATTGGCTCAGTTGCTGCATCCACATTAGGCTGCTCAGTTGTTGCAGTTGCTTCAGTTGCTTCAGTTACTTCACCAACAGAAGGTTGCTCAAATGCTGACGTTGCTGCATCTACAAAAGGCTATTCAGTTACTAGAGTTGCTTCACTCACAGAAGGTTGCTCAATTGACTCAACAGATGTTGTTGTTAACTTTCTAGCAACACCTCTTGCTTTTGTTGGAGTAGGTTTTCTTGCAACATGTTTCACCCTTGTTGGAGTAGATCTTGTTGGAGTTGAGGAAGTTGCTACTGTTGATCTTGTTGAAGTTGATGAAGTTGCTACTGTTGGTCTAGCCTTCCTCTTCTTCCTTAAAGCTCTTGCTTTATGTAAATGTGTCAAATATTCCTCATCATCAGTGCCAACTAGACTACCCAAATCTTCATCACTCAAAGATTCATATTCTGAATCAAACTCCTTATGTGAATTGTTAAAATTGTCCTCATGGAGACCCTGCCTTTCTATTGTGACATTGCCCTTGTCAACTTCAAGTTGTCTCTCAGTATTATTTCTATCAACACCAACCCCACCACCCTCATTTTCAATGGCATCTTTCCAACTAATAAACAAAACAAGGTCAATTACATCAGCAAAATTGACCTCATGATCAACATACAAATGAACCTCACCTTCATTCTTCAAAATTCTAAGAATAGCAAGAATACTATCATCCCTAGCCAATGATTTCAGGCAATCCATATCAGCTAATGGTGATTTGAACAATATGTTTTTTATCATAACTTCTTCATATCCCAAAGAAACAACATAATTAGCCATTTCACATGCATTTAGTCTGTCCACATCCACAGGCTTAATAATTGAGACCCCCATTGACATACTGTAATGGTGGGCCATAAGTGAACATACCCCCATGATTAATTACCAAAACCTCATAAAATTCTTCCATTTGGCTGTTCTGTTAAAATATTAGAACAAAAACATTCAATGTAAAGCATGACCAAACTCACATATCAAGAATGCAAATAAATGTACAAAATTCAACAGATTAAACAAGTTTATTACACATAGCACAAGATGTTGGAGAAGGGACAACATGCTGGCAACAAAAAAATACTATTTCTCAAAACCCTAAGTTTCGGTACTATAAGTCCAACAAAAGACGGTAAAAAAGGCTGACCTAATAAAGTTGATGTCCTGCACTGCACAATCAACGGAATCTCACTGTTGGTGTCTACCACGAATCTTTCGCACTTCGTTAGACAAGAGAATCTGACAATAACCTGCAATTTGTTTGAAAGCAACACTCCTTTCTTTTGTTCTTCGTTCTTTGTTCTTTGTTCTTTGTTTAATGGAATCAATTTGCTTTAAAATTTTCCCTTAATCAGTTAATTGGCCCTTAAGAAAACCCTAAACTTAAAGTCGTTCCATATTCTAGATATGGTCGACGAATTGGCAAGAGCTTTGGAATGGGTGAGTTTTTGGGGAAATAAAAGGGGTCATGTCAGCAAATCAGGGGCTATGTCATTAAAAAAGTAATCCACATCAATCCACGTCACAAAGTCGAGTCTCACATGTGCCAAATCAGTGCCAAATCAGCAATGTATTAATGGCAAAAAATGGGTTTCATGGTAAATTGACGTTTCATGATGTCATACGTTTGATTTTGGCTAATTTATTTCAACCAAAAAATATGTGTGTCAATTTATTTCAATATATAAGTGATGGGGTTCAAATATTGCAAAAAAAAGTTATGGGGTTAATTTCAAGAATATCGAAAAGTACATGGGTTAAAATATCTTTTTCACCCTTCATTGTAAGGGTATTTTTATGTAAGTTAA